TGTTCAACCGACCGTTCCATGGCGAAACAGGCAAGGAACAGTCAAGGTGCACTCTTGCCGGCCACAGGAGGCGGAAGCTGCTCAAACTCGGGCACGGCTCATGATTTGCGATTCCACACCGAACCATACTCGAGGCGCCACGAGATTTACACCGAACTCGAGATCGGCATTCTAGACCGGGTCGGGCAGGGGGTGGGGCATGTGAATGAAACTTCCACGGATATCGAACGATGAGACTAAAGCTGAAGAGTCAGAAAAGCATTGACTGTGGTCCACAAAGGTTGGAAGAAGAAACAAAAAAGCCCTTGTGGTCCGCAAAGTCATTTTTCGCAAATCATGGAATAAAGAGCAAACGAGCAAAACGAGAAAGAGCAAAACAAGAAAATACGTATTGAAGCGCTTCGCGGATTGATTTACTGGAGCTGAAGCTTCAGAAAAGGATTGACTGTGGTCCACCGCACAGGCTCAAAGAAGAAACAAAAGAGCTCTTGTGGTCCACAGCAAAGTCTTCTTTCGCAAATCAAGCAATATAGAGCAAACGAGCTAAACGAGCAAGAGCAACACAAGAAAACAAGTATAAAAGCGCTTCGCGGATTGATCATGAAGTACCTCTGGGGGTAAAAGATGAGAGGGAGGGAGTAGTCCAGTTGTACGCATTCCAACGCGGTGGATGTTACGACAAGACAAAAACGGACTCCTTCTCAAAAACAAACTCAAGCTTCTCTCCAAAAGTTGTAGAAGGGGCGGACGGGGCCATGACGGACACACCTTCCAACCCATATGAAAATCTCTAAAAGGAATCGAGAAAACAGCCACCGACGAAAAATTAGGAGAGAAGAGACCGGAGAAGTAAACTCTGAGACCAAATTAAATGACCGAAAGTGGGGGCGAAAAAAGTAGAAAACTGAATTCCTGTCAGGCTTCAGCAACTTTAGCACTTGGGAAAGGTCATGTGTATCATGCCGGAGAAAAATGGCATCTCATAGTACTGTCGCGGTCTTTGTCCCTATGGCACGAGTAGGGGGCATACGGAGAGATGAACGTATTCCTTGAGATCTCTGGTCTCTCGGCTTCGCCTTAGCCTGTCCAATTGTGTGGCCATTGTCCCGCCGTGATAGCGAGGGTTTTTGTATTGCATAGGGGTTTTCGAGGGGTTCGCCTGGGCGCCGCGATTCCTCTTGACCACCGTCCTCGCGATTTATTGGTGTGTTCGGGGTGTTTGGTCCCCAACGGTGGTTAGCAACTTGCGTGAAGAACCAAGCGGGGTGATCACGAACTTACGGGTATTGGTTGGATATGTCTGCCGTACGTTCTTGTGGCACACAGCTGGAGATCAATATTAGAGTGGTAGGCGTGCCGTGATGATACATGGCGTCTTGTTGCTTGTTGTGCTGGCATGTCAGCACTCCTTTACGCCACCCCCTGGTACGCGTTGTCTCATCTCCTCAACATCATGCACCACAAAAACAATTCTCAACTCGATAAACGGGCAGTACGGCTGCGAACAGTTTCTACCGGCCGGCCTCACCGTCCTCAAGGGTATCCTTCGTTGTATATATACATACAAGGACACATCGCACCAGCCGCTACGCTGGTGAACTGTATGGCGATAGTAGTCCGTGGGTAACCCCCGCCTCAATTTAAGTCATTCCTTTTTGCCAACGGGCTCATTGAAGGAGGGGTCGCCTCAAGAGAACTCGCCATTGTTACGCTAAGCAACAGAAACAAGAAGTACACGACTGCTCTCGCATGCGCAATATACATGGAACAAGAGAAGAGACGAACAGAAAATAAACACCATCAACGTATAACACCATACTGGTGAAATTGAGAGCGAAGCACCTGATTGAGAGCGAGATTGCGCGATGCGCTGCAGCTGGACTACTGCTGAGAGGTGGAGCTTGCTGTGTAGCTTGAATTGAAGGGCCAGCCCGTGGCTACAAGCAGATACCCTGGTCATCCTGTGGGAGTCTCTCGATGTGGAGTTACAGCGGCGAGCAGAAGCTACAGCAGAGCCCACCGCCCGAGGCAAAAACCGCCCTGCAACAGTTTGAGGCAGGAATAGCCAATCTGGGGAAATCTAGCAACTTGTCTCGCTCCTAGCTGCAGCATCCGATGACGATGACACGCATATGCTCGTGACGCTGCTGATGAGACCTTCAATATGCGCCGCTTCTTGGAAGAGCCCGCCCCCAACTTCCCAAGAAATGGCAAGAGGCGTCTGGACCCGAATATTAATTGTTTGGATTTCGCTCTCAATTTTTATGATTCGCTCTCAATGTCACCAATATGTTGTATGTTGGCAATACCATATCGTCTGCCCAATGTCGGAAATTGCTTTGCAATCGAGGGTGCATGGATTAATTAAAATATGCAGTCTTCTACACAGTCCCGTAGAACCTGCTGCATGTGGCCGAGCGCCACGCCCCAGAGTTCCAAGCTTCTATGTAATTGCTAGTCTGATCCGACGAGTCCATCTCTCTCTCTACCTAAGAAAACAGTCTCGTTACTGCAAGTGGTAATGCGCACGGTGCAATGCACACATACGCCCAGCGGTGCCAGCTTTGTATATTTTGTAAATACGGCAACCTCTCTCTAAAAACAAGTCAAAGATAAGATAACCATGGATTTTTTAACGAGCAGTGCACACACATGGCCGACAGTTTCAAGTTTTTTTCTTGTTGTCAATCACCCAACGAAGCCATCCATACAAGCTGATTCAGGGAAAAGGATACAAGAACATTCAACATCAAAACTTCATGCCGTTTTTAGGAGTTACACTTTGAAGCTTTGCACACATACATGTACTTTGAGTACGAAACGCTGTGTGGTGGGGCCGTTTTCATATATATATATTCTTAATGTCGCCGGATATCCGGGGTCCTAGAGTTTTCGGGGGTCATTTGCTACTCCTGGGAGCCCCAATAACCGGCGACCATGGAAGAAGATAAAAAAGGCCCCCCCGCCTAGCGTTTCGCACCAACCCTATGTAGTCTACATATATGCAAAGTTTCAAAGTAAATTCCTAAAAACGGCGTGAAATTTTCAGCTCGTGTTATGACGTATTCGCCATCCTGATTTTCCCCAACACTACTTGATAATAGTACAGAATCAAGTCCCCGGGACCCCTCTTTCACGGCAAAGCCCCGTGCCGCGCCAGTTTCACAAGTGGTATGACACAACTTCCTGGAAAGGAATATTGAAATATCGCGCAGCGAAAAAAACAAACGTAGTGTTCATCTATTTGGAACGGGTTTTCGGGGGTTCGCACCGGGTACCCCAATACACCGGTTAGCAGTGCAAATATTGTCTGCTTTTTGTTCACGGTTTGCGCAACATTGTTGCGCCATGTTACCGAAATCTGAGGATGATTAAACTTTTCCTTCGAAAATTAACGAGGCAATCAAACACAAGACTCTGCGTATCCCAGTATACAATCGATCCGTGGAAACGCGACGACGCCAAATCTCGGCCGGTGAACTACAATTTTGGGAATGACTCGTTTCCACGATGAACGTTTTCTATTTTTTTTTTCATATCAGGTCCCCTAGAGTATGGGATTTCCTTTTTTTGCAAAACTGCGTTAGGAAGAGGTGGGAAGTGCGGGGTTGAATGCGATATTAGTTTTATATCAAGTTTGAGGCTTCTGATTGGCCGAGACAGACTTATGCACATTGCATTGTCGCCACGGCTCTGATTGAAATTTCGGCAGCAGTGATTTGTTCCCTTGCGCATGGGGGTCACATTGATACAAGATATGCCAACGTCAATGTTGTGTACATATATTTCGGCTGGCAGCGGTGGTTGAATAAATTTTGATTCATTTCCGTGAACCAGCTTGTATCTATCTGAGAAAAGATTCAAAGATAGAATATCAATGAATATTGGAACGAATGATTTCCGACAGGCATGACTTGTGAAGATTGAACTTGTGACATGCCCCGGAATTCAACGATTTTGGGACGAACAATTGCCAAGCGTAAGAACTTGTGAAATTGGAAGAAATTATTTGCGTCCGGCGGCATTTTTCAGTTAACCGTCGAATGACGTAGTCCTAGTGGAGGGGTCCTACGACAGTCCGGTTCACAGTCTCGTTTGCGAGCCGAAACGTTGAGAAGCATTGCAACAGGGAGCACAACAGGGCAATAACACATGCCCGATGAACCTGCAGTGGTAATCTGCAAGGCTCGGGCGGGCACTTTAGATGAGGTGGGGCGGGTACCGCGACATCGCCGTCGCGGCTGGTTCGACTTCATCAAAATCATGGAATAACGCCGCCAAAGTTGAGATCCATTGCAACAAGGAGCACAACAAGGCAATAAGACATGTATGTCTGAGGAATCTGCTGTAGTGCGTAATCTCCCGGGCTAGGGCTGACGTTCGACGTGATGAGGAGGGTATCGTGACGTAGCGGTGGCGGCTGGTCCGACATCATAGAAATCATGGAACAACAGCGCCGTCGGATCGGCCGCTCGGCCCGCCCCCCTACCATTCACTCCGTCAGCATCCTCTCCCGAAAAAACACATACTGCTGCTTCCCCTCTATCTCTTCAAGACAAGACAATTGTTGTCGTTTTTCCCGGACACGGTCGTTCTCTTCGACAAGCCGGCTCACAGTTGGCGCCCGCAGTTAGGAAACATTTTGTTAAGAAATTTAGGCTCACTTTTTCACGAAAAATAAGAAAATGGGGTTTAAAAAAAAAGCTCATCTTGGTCACACAATAAGGAATGTCTCAAAAAGAAACACAGCGGCGACCGCTGCCCTACTACATATGAAATGAGGGTTTACGGGGGGGGGTGTCGAACAATAAACAAACCCCACAGCTCTCTCGCTCTTTCCCCCTCTCCCCCGACCCCCCCCTCCCAAAGTGAAGCGTGGGGTTCTCCAGAAACTCGGGTTGGGTTGGTTCGGAGGGGTAATTAGTCGCAGATCTCACCCCGCTTCGCGGCAGGAGTACGACTACCGCGTCATCCTGCACTGTGACGAAAGCACGCGTAGCATGAGGATGCCGTTGGAGTCGTACAGCACGGATGAAGACGTCGCAATTGGAGCGTGGGTTCTCCTAGAGGTAGACCCAAAGGAGGGAGCGGGAGGCGCAAAAGGGTGACAACCCCCAATGTTCGCCTCACGGCGGAGCTTGCAACATAATGACGGTGTAGTTTTCGTTGTTGGCACGTCAGCGTGCGGGTGAGGCATCATGCGATGTTTATGCATTTGTATATTTTCAGCCCTCACTCATGAGGGGGGTACAGGACCTTGTCGAGATAGCGAGACGTTGCCGCTGGATACATAACGCTCCTAGGGAGTGGCCTTACGTGCAGCCGTCGGTAGTGAGAATCGGGGTTGAGTACGGGGGTCGAGGAAAGCAGTGCAAATCATTTGTATGTTTGGAACGTTGTGTAGTATGCAAGCCGAGAAATCAGAAATTGCCGATTAAAGAAATTCAGACCTCGAACCAGTCAGCGCCGATGATACGGGGATGGAGTGTAGGCGCATCGTAGAACTCGTTTTCGTTTGAAGTTGGCGTCTTGTTTGAAAGTTGATGTGACAGATTTGCGTAGAATAGGTACATCTGCAATTGTCGGAAGGCAAAAATAAATAAATAAATATAGGGTAAGATGTTCTCATGAACGGAGAAGAAAAGGCTTTTCCAACACGGAGATGTAGCATGGATCAAAGCATTTGTTGGATTTCAGCTTTTACAAGCGGACATGAACGCAGTAGTATTTTAGCAAGCTTACGAACGCATGTAGGATACCATGAGGATTGTCATTGGTTTTATTTGGAGTTGAAGAGGAGATATTTTTACGATGTAAGTGACAGTAGAAATAAGTCCCACATATGTTGTACTTCGTATTGGTTTAATATTCATGTAGAGTATGAAACATTAAGTGAAAAAAATTTAAGGTACATCTGCAATTGTCGGAAAGCAAAAAATAAAAAAAACAGCAGGATTTGGCTGCACGAAAAAATAAGAAACTTGTAATAAGAAACTGAACGACATACATACGCTGAGTTTATAGCCGACAATAAGAATTCGAGGCTGGACCAGAAATAAGCGTTTCTTAACTGCGGGCGCCAACTGGACTTCTCCAACCCTCTCGTGCATCGTCCGCGGTTCATCGTATACCCCCATCGCGACGCTTGCACAATGCACACACAAACACGCCCCCGAGTAGAAGTGTTTTGGAACGTATAATTTGTGAGTGGTAGAACTTGTCAAATTATAATGTTGGGAGTGCGGCCCCCTTCGTGCATGGGACATCCCTCGAGAGTCTGAACCAAATCCGGCTTTTTTGCATAAATTTTTAGATTGTGATAAGCCAAGACCATAAATATGGGATATTTGCGTAGAATAGGGTAAGATGTTATCATGAACGGAGATGAAAGGGCTTTTCCAACACGGAGATGTAGCATGGATCAAAGCATTTGTTGGATTTCAGCTTTTACAAGAGGACATCAACGCAGTAGTATTTTAGCAAGTTACGAACGCATATAGGATACCATCAGGATTGTCATTGGTTTTATTTCAAGTTGAAGAGGAGATATTTTTTCGATGTAAATGACAGTAGAAATAAGTCCTACATATGTTGTTGTACTTCGTATTGGTTTAATATTCATGTAGAGTATGAGACCTTAAGTGAAGGTTTTCTGAGGTACATCTGCAATTGTCGGGAGGCAAAAAAAAAAAAGAAAGAAATAAAATTATATTATTGCACCAATTAAATAAAAAAGGGTGACGTGAAAAGATCAAACTCTAAACGTAATGGCTATCAAAATGGTCACAGTCAAGAATTACGTTATATTATGACAGGAACTTTAATCCATAATCCAAGCCTATCTCCAGGAGAAAACACAAAAATATTAAGAGCGCCTGGCGCTTATGGATTAATTTTAAGAACTAAAAAATTAGCAAAAATACGATTTAAATCTGGCCAATATCGATGGTTTGATACAAAAACTATAGCAACAAATGGTAATATTGGAAATACTTATTATAGGTTTAATAAACTTAATAAATCAGGACGATCACGATGGATCGGACGACGACCTATAGTCCGAGGAGTTGCTATGAATCCTATAGACCACCCCCATGGCTACAGGTATAGAAATATTACCTCTTTGCTTGAGTATTTTAGGAGGATTTTGTTCATTTATTTTATATAGAAATTATAGTCGTAATATATTTCTTCTTAACACTTCTACATTAGGTCGTAAGTTATATTACTTTTCTTAACCGTAAATGGTTATTTGACAAAATATACAATGATTTCACTACCCAAAATCCGTCGTGTTTGTAGTTATGATGCTAGATGTTGAAGCTATTGAAAATCCAGAGTCGGCAAAAAAAAAACGATTATTTTACGTTGGTGGTTTAATTTTTTTTTCCTTTTTACTCGCAGTAGGGTGTAACGAAGAGTTACAAAGTTCAATAAAGTTATTTGCAACAACTTATATAGGTTCATTAGTTTTTTTTAACCTAGTAAAATATGAAGAATATATTAAAGAAAACTTTCAACCTCTTCATTTATTTATTTGTTTTTGCCTTCCGACAATTGCAGATGTACCTCAGAAAACTTTCACTTCATGTCTCATACTCTACATGAATATTAAACCAATACGAAGTACAACAACATATGTAGGACTTATTTCTACCGTCATTTACATCGTAAAAGTATCTCCTCTTCAACTTGAAATAAAACCAATGACAATCCTGATGTTATCCTATATGCGTTCGTAAGCTTGCTAAAATACTACTGCGTTGATGTCCGCTTGTAAAAGCTGAAATCCAACAAATGCTTTGATCCATGCTACATCTCCGTGTTGGAAAAGCCCTTTCATCTCCGTTAATGATAACATGTTACCCTATTCTACGCAAATCTGTCACAACCTATTGTTAAGAATGAAAAAACAGTAGAAATAAGTCCTACATATGTTGGAGTACTTGGTATTGGTTTAATATTCATGTAGAGTATGAGACATTAAGTGAAAGTTTTCTGAGGTACATCTGCAATTGTCGGAAGGCAAAAATAAATAAATAAATGAAATAATAAATATCAATTTAGAACAAATAAAGGAGGTGAAGCGAAATGTATACAACTCACGGCCGACGCCAGCAACGTACAAGCAACACGGCCGACACACCATGGAGCATGGAGAGTGTTTCGTAAGCGGCTGGCAAGCACGCCTAAAAAACAACAACCGTTGAAAGAGCACTCGGAGTGAAGAACACGGACAGGGTTGTTTGTTTATTGTTTTTTCTCCCATCATTGGTCTCTGTCGTCTGCCCCCCTGGCCCATATCCTCCACTTCTACTAGCCAGACGACCCAACCGGGGTAACATAGGGCGTGTATTTCTTGTTCCCCCGTATGTACTCCCCCAACCTGAAAAATATTAAAGTAACATCACACACCCCAAGTGCATATGGATATTGTGTCCCCAAAACTGAAAATTAGAAAATACCCACTAACGAATATCTGACTATCTGTACGATGCCGGGGCGAACATGTTGTCGGGCACATGACAGCAAGATAAAATCATCGTCACTCCCTCGGACAGCAACTTTTCTCACTGGAGTGGCAACGGCTGAAGAGTAAGTTTAGCATTGCAATCATTGATTATGCGAACAGCAGGGGGTGTCGACCAGGCATACACGCGTTGCAAATACGATTCGGTTGTGGACATTATTTTGGTCTTGCTGTTGGGACCAATATACTCACAGTCTGTAAGTCGAATAAACGAGAATTGACACGAACACAAGAAAAGTGAACAACAAAATGTGTTGGTTCCACTCCCTGATGGCATCCACCCGGCGTTTGCCTGAATCCTGCAATGTTATCGTTGGAAGCGAATTGGGAGTCGATGAATGGTAACACGAACCATCGAGGTGGAGACGCACCTTGAAAGGCGGAGAGATGGCACCGGATGCGAGCACCCCGGCGCCGAATACCCGACAAAAATATCATACGGCAGCCGCGTACTGCTGTAAACCGCTGTTCTTGTGCGTAGTACCGCGTTGCTCATGGTGCACGGATCACGTGTGTGGCTTGTGCAGACCACTGTCAAATCAATTCCTGTTTGACTTCAAGAACCGTTCCAAAAAAGACGACTTGATGCACGCGGGTATGGCGTGCACATCGCGCTAGCGTACGCATGCGCTTGAATCGTGCGGCAGCTGGCCGCGTTGTCGCTACCATGCTACTATAATAATTGTTTCACTATTATATCCTTGTCTTTGCAACCAGTTGCTGCGTACTGGGTGTGTACACGAAAACCACCGCAACTGCTGTGTGGGCGCGTGGCGCGTGGTGCGGGGCAAAACCAACGTTCCGTTTTCAGTTTTCGTCCCGTTCCAAGCTCAATGACACTCCTTTGCAATACAGACAGTGCCTACGACTTTCGAGCGGACATCATGCGCACTACCGGTGTCTAGCAAGCCCGACACGCAACGGGTATTGTACCGACGGGTCCTCTGAGTGCTATGCAGAAGAAAGTGTGAGAAAAGACGCTGTCCCGGCAGACAAAGAACCAACTAAAATTATCGGATTGGTCATATGGTCTACACATACTGTGTATGGGGGGGGAATGAGCCGCATGGTGCGACTCAATGCCTTGCAGTTATCTCATGAGCGAAGCTGACGATGCACGAATCCCGACAAACACCAGCGTGAATCGTTTGCGGCGCAGATACGCGTGCACCACAGAGGGACAGCAGGCGTGCGATGGGAGCAACGATGGTTGTATGTGCGGGCACCGTTCAACAGCAGTTTGCACTATACATGCGGTTCTTTCTTTTCCGATATGATGCGCATGCACGAAGGAACAAATGTAAAGTCTTCCCGCCATACGGACGAAAACACCCACACCTGGGCATCTGGACGAGGCACGCACGCGGCATACACCTGAAGGCGAGCGTATCACAAATCACACCGCGAGGAGCACGATTAGCAGCGTAGACATAGATAGGATTGTGACACGACAGATAGCAAATATTGCTTCAGGCTCACAACTTGCCCGCCACATTCAAGCCTGCCGAGTTTCCCGTCAAGTGGTAGCAGTCCAGCATGAACCAAAAACAAAAAGCCGTTGATGGTCATGACGGCGCAACTTTGACGCGAGACACCCTGCAGCAGCAACGACAGCGTGCAGTGACCGGCTTTTGCGAAGAGAGTCAAAAGCGCAGCGCCAAAACGCGATCTGAACCGATCCCGTGGGGGACCATCCTGATAACGAACAGCATCAGAGGCAGTCCCTCGCGCCCTCGACGCGTGATCTCGATGATTGTAGGTAGGTATGATCTGGATTTGGGAGGTTTGTTCCTTGTGTTTTCAATTGTGCTCATCGGCGTTTTCTCTTTTCGGAGCAGTCGGTTGGACCCACTCAACATCATCAATGAACACCCGCTAAAGGCTACACATTGCGCATGCCTACCGAATACCCACGGTGCACAGGTCGTGTAGGCCCGGTCCCTGCTGGTTTTGATAGCTGGTCTCAGACCAGGGTCTCAGCAGTGACTGCCTTTTTTGGTGTTGTCTCGTCTCTGTGTTCCTTGTCTTGGTCTGAATCGCGCGCACGCCCGATCTCCGCATTTGAAAACACACCTTTTCGCGTAGAAACCCGGGATTGGAGAGCAGGATCTCCTACAACTATAGGGCACAAGCGCTTGTTTAGCACGGCCATCTTCCATCGGAGCACGAATGAACCAGTGTGACGAAGAGCGTGCTATTTTCTTCTCCTTCAGAAGCGAACAGATGGTCCCTCGGTGCCCTAATGATTTCGCTCTGATGCTGAAGGTGCAGCAATTCGGCGTAGGTGCGGTGTTTCGGCTCCTCCGTAACTAAGTTTTGGCGCCCATGTATCACGCGGCACAACTTTGGCCGATATTTAGAGCCATTTTTCCCTCCTGGGGATGGAAGACAACAAAAGGTCGCGGGTCGCGCTTCGCGGCTCATGGTTAGCAATGAAGGGGCATGTTACGGTGCCAAACATGGCAAACTCAAAGAAAAAGTAAATAGCGTTGTGGCAGGAGCAGCAGTAACAGCAACCACTCATAACGTACGCAATTACCACCTTCGACTTTGCACACGCGGGTTCGAGGCCCGGAAGTGCGGAGTTCTTCTCCCGTATACCGCACGTGACAGAAGATAGCACACCTCCAACACACCACTCCAGGGAAGCACACGCGGTGATGTTGGTTTGGGACACGGGAAAACACGACAATTGATCACACCGGTGACACAAGATAGCACACATCCTACAGATCCGCCGCATACTCAATCACGAAGCCCCCATTACTTCACCTGGTGGCTAGTGGTGCGGATTTACACAGCCGCACGTGCACACACACACACGAACAGAGGCACACAGCTGGTACACTAGCGGCTACGGTTTAAGGTTGGTACAAGCCAAAATTTCTCTCATAAATCGGTGTATCTGTTAAACCGCTTTAGCTACGCTTTAAGTGAGTATTCCTATAAACCGTGTCTCACTTTAGAGAATACATTACCTTACAC